TATGTATGTACGTATCTGTGTATGTACCTATGTACACAGAGACACAACATCTATATACACATGAGTATAAAATACAAAATAACAGCATAACACAATTTGACATATTGCGTATAATGTAGTGTAGTATATTCTAGCGTGACATTATAATCTATAATACGATGAATACAGTAGTATGTATGTATATGTGTGTGTGTATATATATATATATTTCTGAAGCTTTGGCATCCGGGGTGATCTCTCTTCATCAGCGGAGAGACCGCTCCGTAGTCCCGTGCATCCATGGGGCATCCACTATGCGCCAGCTTTGCAGGTGAAAGTGTTTGGGACCACCCGTGTGACGAACACTACCGCAAAGTCTACGAAAAGTACAAGGCACCGTTGGAGTTCTGCCTGATGCTGGTTATAGCTGCATAGCCGCTACAGGCGAAGAAGGAGGCTGATCGCACGCCCGGGAACGACGATTCGAAGAGGTCGCCGCAGCTTGGAGCGCCGGCAGGGGTCGGATGGACATGCGGTGAATTGGAGTTGACGTCCTTTAGGTTTGGACTGTGCCGTACTTCTTACCAAGCGGGAGTGCTCCGTACACTGCAAGATGAATAATTAGCTGTTGGTCCTGCAGGAAGGACAAGAAGGACAAAAAGGAAAAGAAGCGTAAGAGTGGTTCAGGCGATTCGTTAGGTGCGCATCTTACTCGCACATTCAGACGCTGTCTGCAACTGTATCATGATTCTGGCTGCAAGATCCAGCAATGGCATCCATGATTTCATCGTCCCACACTGCGGAATCGTAGCTTCAGGTGCTGACCTCCTCGATGTCCCACCAAAGATGGACCTGCTCTTAGTGTAGTCTCGCTTAGCTGGAAGGTAGTTCTGCACATAGCAAATGCTGAAGACATACTCGCAGTAAGTGTGCAGAGCTGCAACTCATCTTCGAGACTGGCAGCGAAAGCCGCATGTCTGAGACCGTTTGTCATCTCGCGACCTTTGAAAAGGACCTGCCCAAACCTGGCGAGTCGCTGTTCGGCAAGCCCAGCAAAAATAAGTTTCTCGGCACCAGAAAACAGCATCATCATCGGCCTTGTGACTTTCAGCCACTGTTTTTACATAGTTACGTAGCCGTAGGTGGTCGTACCACTCAGGAGGAGCAGCAGGAGGAGGGTTAGTCCAAGTAGCAATCGGCGTCGTCGTCGTCGTCGTCGTCGTAGTAGTCGTTGTCGTATGTTGTCGTGGTTGTGGTGGTAGCAGTAGCCGTAGCAGGAGCAGGCATACAGTAGGATTGATAGCAGGATCTAGCTTTCTTTTCTTTTTCTGTTGTGGTGTTGGTTGTAGTTGTCGTGTTGTAGTGCTAGTTCTAGTAGTACGTAGTAGTGCGCGTCGTCGTAGTACTCGTAGTAGCAGTAGTAGTAGTAGTAGTAGTAGTAGTAGTAGTAGGAGTAGTAGGAGTAGTAGTAGTCGTAGTAGTAGTTGTTATAGTAGTAGTAGCAGCAGTAGTAGTAGTAGCAGTAGTAGCAGTAGTAGTAGTAGTAGTAGTAGAAGTAGTAGTCGTAGTAGTAGAAGTAGTCGTAGTAGCAGCAGCAGCAGCAGCAGCAGCAGCAGCAGCAGTAGTAGTAGTAGTAGTAGTCGTCCTAGTAGTCCTAGTAGAGGTCGTAGTAGCAGTAGCAGTAGTAGTAGCAGTAGTAGTAGTTGTAGTAGTAGTAGTAGCAGTAGTAGTAGCAGTAGTAGAAGTAGTAGCAGAAGTAGTAGTAGTAGTAGTAGTAGTAGTAGTAGTAGTAGTTAGTAG